GGGGCTATAGGGAAACCCTTTCTCAAAAAGACTCCCATCCCCCCCCCCCCTCAAAAAAAAAAAACCCACAAAAAGAAGGCAGAGCTTGCCTTGCAGCTTCTAACCATCAGGCTCTTCAGGACACCCCAGAGAATCTAGTCCCAGCTTGTCTACCTCAGTGGGAATGAGACATGGAAGCTACCCTTAGGTATTACCTTGTCAACTGTCCACCTTTATCTCATATCTGTGTCACCAAATACTTGAACCTGGCTTCCCTGAGAATATCCTGAGTCAGAGAGGTCCTTGTTTGAAAAGGATTCCAGGGATAAGGGCATAGTGTGTATATTCACGCGCATGTGAGGTGTGTGCCTGTTTACTGCCATGCTCTGGTTCCTCAGTGTGCTTAATGGGAATTGAGAAACATTAAAAATAGTATTCAGTAGGAAATCGGAACAGCTCAAGTGGCAGGACAGGCTTGATTTCAGATTCTTCTTCCCAGAAGAACATGTCACCGTGGTTTGGGGAGCTTCCACGTCTTGGCCACAAGTCCAGTGACTGATGTGGACACGGTTTCTGTGACATTTATGCTGTGGATATCATAACCAATTCTGATCTCTGAGATCATAGCAGGCTCTGGGAAGGGGAGAAGTGAGTGGCCTTTGCTGATAAACACTGACACCACATTTAATCAGTTGCTTACCTCCAGTGTTATCAATTCTTGAGAGACTGTGGTTTGGCCAGGAACCTAAGTGACCAGTGGGTGCATCAGTCTGTTCTCTGTGCCCCTCCTCCCTGCTTTTTCATAGAAGGTGTGACCACATGACCAATAGACCCAAAGGTGAGGAGGAAAGTATGCTCAGTGCCTGGGCAATGAGAATATCATATGCTAAGAGCTGGCCCTTGGGGTTCTGGATCAATAACTTCAGGGTTCTGAGGGATTTTTTTCCCCCTAAGACTTCCTAAAAGATGCTTGGAATAAGCATCTTTAGACTAAAGCAGTCTGGGCCTATTTCACCTTGGGGTCACTGCTGATTTCTGTGGTTATCTGGAGAGGCCAGGTGACATAGGTAGCTTCTATTCTTTGACAGAGAAGGGTCAAAGCAGCAACGTTATGCTGGTGTTGCTGCTGGGGCCCCTTATGGTAGTGCCCTGGGACCTTCCTTGGGTAATCACACAGCATGGACAGCTGGGAGGAAAGCAAACCAGTGCTGCCTCCACACTACTCATCCATTGAATCAGCACCTCAAGGTTGCCCTGTTGCTGAGAACCCACTGCACAGCATCTAATCTGCATCATTCTACTTCTCAGAAGCCGGAGAAAACCCAAGGGATGTTTAGAGGGAACTTTAGCAATAAAGGCACTTTTTATGCAGGAAAAGCTGTTAATGCAGTCAACCAACCCAGAAAATACAGAAAAGAAAGAAAAAAATTGCTTTGTACAAAGAAACAGGACATTTAGTCTGTTAGTTGGCACCAGAAGGATTCTTAAACTTTTACTCGAGGCTATCAATGCCCATCCAGTAATTTATTGGCCACAATGTTTTCTTTCTTAGAGCTAAAAGCATGGTAAACTTTTAGCTTTTAGCTGAGGCGTAAACCTTTAACCTAGCCTAATCTTTTAGCCAGAGATAGCTGAGTTATTTGTTCAGGACAAGAAGATGAGCTAAGGGTTGTTGACCAAGACGCTTTCCCACAGAGCAGGGAGCCTGCACTTACGACCAGGCCGCTGTCTCCTGCCAGTCTGGGAGTGTTCTGCAGGACAGGAATTATCAGAGCCACTGTTTTCAGGGCCCCTCCCTTTAGCAGAGAATGCAGCCTGGACCTAAAGGTTTTAGGCTCACCTCACCCCAGGGCCTGGCATCCTGGCTTCCTACAGAGAACTAGAAAGGTGCCCGGGGAAAAGTGCACCACACAGCCAAGAGGGAGGTTACAAAGTGTGTTCAAGGGTCCAGGCATTGTAGATGCAACAGAAAGGGAGCCTCCTGTGCAGAGCCAGGTAACTGGATTTGGCCTCCAGGCTCCAGAGAATCTGGCTGCTCACAGCACCAAGCACTCAAAACTTTGGCTCCAGGCTTTAAAGCTGGGTGACCTTGGGCTGGCGACTGCTCTTCTTTGAGCATCAGTTTCCTCATCAGTAAAGTAGGTCAACAGGGAGAGATGTGTAAGGAGCAACGATAAGTCAGCTACAAGAGAATGCCATAGGCTCCGTTCCCATCTCCCGGCCCTGTGCAGAGTGCACGTATGCTGCGTGTATGGGCCCTGCCTGTCTGCGGCCTCTCCCCATCTACCCTGGGGGACACTAGAAGCGAGGTCTTGCCTACTCAGTTTCCCTCATCAAGGAACTCCCAGAGACATCAGGAGGGCAGCTAGTGATACCTGTTTTCTATGTAGACACAGGACCTACAGGATACTTTGCTTCAGTGTACAACCCTCTGGCTTGGACAGTCACCACCATCGTCACCTTGACTATTGGCTTCCCCAGAGTCAGTGTCACAGATGAGATGGGCCACCATGTACCCGCACAGGTATGGGCGTGAAGTCCTGCTAGGGTGGTGGTAGAGGGTGTAGAGGGGACTTTGCTGTTTGCCATTTGATAATCTAGTTCCTCTTCTACCTATGAAAGGCCCTGGGGAGTCTTAAGGGGATGCTTTAATGGAGGTGCCGAGGTTGGGGTGAGGTCCAGGCTGCCTCTTTCTCTGCACCCTGAGACATTCAGCATGAATTAGGCAGACTATCTCCTTCTCTTTCTGCTGCCTGGGGGAGGAAGGCTGCAATGGGGATGAGAAGCAAGTTGAAGAAGGGTCCCAGGGCTGATATAGTCTCTGGGGGTCCCAGAGGACAAAGCCAAAGCTTGTAAAGATGCCAGGAGGACCGTCCAAGAGGTAGAAGGACACCACTGCCTCTGAGGGGAGTGAGCACCCCATCCCAGGAGGGATGTGAGCCAGGGGTCTTCTCTTCCATGCTGTTGGCTTGCAGATCCAGAACTCCACCAAGCACCCCTCTGCCTACGACCTGCTTATCCTGAGCACCATTCCAGGCCTCAGTTACCGGTATTACAGTGTCAGGCACACCCAGGGGGACCAGGCAGGCACCAGGGAAATGGTCACCCCAGTGGCCAGCACCCTCAAGTTTGGACGCAGGCTGAGGAACCAGACCAGCCAGGAAGGCAAGCGCCTGGTGCCCGTGGTAAATGACTGCTATACTGTGCTGTTAGACCAGGACACCAACCTGATGCACAGCGTCCAGGACAGGTGAGGCACACCCATTACTGGCTCTTAGATGAGGTATGCCTGAGGCCTAGATGCATGAAAGTTCTCCCTGGTGTCTGCCTTCACCTGCCTAAAGAAAGAACAGATGGTAGCAAAGCCCCAGCCTGCTCTTGTGATCTTTAGGAGGGGAGCCAGACCCAGTGCAAAAAAAGGCCTTCTTAAACTGTCTCATTCCAGAGCTCTTGACCTACAGACAAAGGGGGCACTGAAGGGCCATGAGGGAACAATGTGTTCATGTCATCTACTTCTTTAAACTTGCAGAAACATAGAATCACTATTCAGTAAATAATTACACTATCTTTAAAACAGAAGGGGCTTTCAAAACCCTCTGTTCCCACCTACCACCCACTCACTTGTCTATCCAGCCATCTATCCACCCGCCTATCCAGCCAGGCATCCACACCCCTTTGTACTTATGCATCCATCTACCCATCCACCCACCTGTGTATCCATCCATCCACCCATCAACCATCTATGCATCCATCTATCCATCCATCCACCCACCATCTATCCATCCATCCATCCACCCACCCACCATCTATGCATCCATCCATCCACCCACCATCCATCCATCCACCCACCATCTATCCATCCACCCACCATCTATCCATCCATCCATCCACCCACCATCTATCCATCCATCCATCCACCCACCATCTATCCATCCATCCATCCACCCACCATCCATCCATCCACCCACCATCTATCCATCCATCCATCCACCCACCATCCATCCATCCATCATCAACCATCTATCCATCCATCCATCCACCATCTATGCATCCATCCATCCACCCACCATCTATCCATCCATCCATCCACCCACCCATCCATCCATCCACCCACCATCTATGCATCCATCCATCCACCCACCATCTATGCATCCATCCATCCACCCACCATCTATGCATCCATCCATCCACCCACCATCTATCCATCAACCCACCCACCCAAAAAAAAAAACCCACCCACTCCATCCATCCATCCACCATCCATCCATCCACCCACCATCCATCATCTATCCATCCACCCACCATCTATCCATCCACCCACCATCTATCCATCCACCCACCATCCATCCATCCATCCATCCATCCACCCACCCATCCACCCACCCATCCATCTACCCACCCACCCAACAATACACCCACCCATCCATCCATCCATCCATCCAACCATCCACTCACCCA